ATATAGGGGTCTAATCAAATGAGAACTAATTAGTTTGTGGTAACTGTGAGAACCAATATTAACCACAAATCAATAGATAAATTAGGAAATTTATAATTTTGGCAATTTTGAATTAAAATATTAATGCAAGAATATTTTTGGTATTTTAAAACTTTCATCCCTCCTCTCTTCTCTCTCCGGCCACCATCCGCCAGCCACCGTCCTCCGGTGATACTACAATGGTATCAGAATGCGTCATATATGTGCTTGAGTATCACAATGATGTCGTTTGTGTGGTCGATCGAAGATGTAACACAGTGATATCACTATGCATCTTATATATGATTAGGTATCACAATGTATCTTTTGTTTAACAGAGTCAATATTTTTAGGTATCACAATGTATCTTTTGTTTAACAGAGTCAATATTTTTAGGTATCACAGTGGTATCATAGTGGTATCACCGGAGGATGGTGGCCGGAGACCGGAGGACGGTGGCCGGAGGCCGGAGAACGGTGGCCGGAGAGAGAAGAGAGGAGAGAGGAGAGTTTTAAAATACCAACGTCATATTAAAAGTGTCCTATAAAGTTGCTGATGAGACGCTTTATATTAAAAGTGTCATAAAAAACTTATTACGGCGTCAAAAAAACGTCATATAAACTTATTACAACGCCTTTAGATATGACGCTTTATTTTTTTTGGTCCTATAAACTAAGTCTTATAAGGGATTCTTGATAGGTACAATATTTTTTTTAATATATTATTTTTATCATCGAAAATAACATTGAATTCATATAAAATCGTTTTTCCAAGCATATTCCTAGACGTAAAATCAATCAATACTCATTTCTAAATTAATATTATCTACTAGAACATTTTTATGTAGCATCGTCAATTTGTTCCATCATCAAAAACATCTTATGATATTTTTGGTACATAGAATGACATCATTTGGGGTCACAAAGTTGATTCTTCTTATTAACACTATGTAAATCAATGTAAATAAGTTGGTTTTTCATGTCACCTAATGTTAATGTTTTTTAACACAATTTTAAATTTATATATTATGTTTTCGAATTTGAAAAGAAAAATAATGTTTTTTATTTGTGTTTTTAATAAAGAAGAGAGAGGAAAGAAAAATAATGAAATAAAAATTAATCTTGATATAATTTTTTCCTTTCCCTAAAAAAATCTCGAGAACAAGCATTTTTCGTCCCACATTACTTTCCTCTTTTTCTTACATAAAGCTTCATGTTTAAATTCGTGTAACTAACTGCAGATGAATATAATCAAATAGATGATAAAAATCTTATTTTAAATATAAAAAATCTAATATATAAGTAGGATAATTATTGAGTTCTAACAAAATATTTAATAATTATCTTTATAAAAAATTATATTATTAAACCAAAAATAAAAAATTGAATTAAAGAATACATAAAAAGAAGAAATTTTTAATAGTTAGTTTGGTACTAATAACAATATTTTTTTTCAATTTTTTATGATATATCTTCATATTTATATTTTATTCAAAAATAAAATTTTTTTTTCTCAAAATCACATCAAATCGTATTATAACATCGACCGAGACAAAGAAAATGAAACATTAAAATCAAACCGTATTATAACATCGACCGAAACAAAAAAAATAAAACATTAAAATTAAAATATATCTCGCAGCATTGTACAAATAATATAATTGAGATATGATGTGAACGCAAATAATTGAAAACCAATCTTTACATTTAATTATTTGTGATATACATTAATTCAATCCTTACATTTAATTATTTGTGATATACATTAATTCAAATTTTTATGCGTAGTTGGTTATTATACAACTCTTGACATTTGTACAACCAATATAACTCAATCTCAACCGTTCATTTCATTTGATTAATATGTGATTTTATAGAAATTTTGATTGTTTCCTAATATAAAGTATTGATAATGAACCATATTCATCTTCAATAAATATTCAAATCATTATAAATGAACTCTCATCATTTCCATAAATATCTCAATTTATTGGATTGCATTGGTTGTACAAATGCAATGGATTGTATTTGAAACTATATATATATATATATATAGAGAGAGAGAGAGAGAGAGAGAGAGAAAGGGAAAGAGAGGTTGGTTATTATACAACCCTTGACATTTATGCAACCAGTACAACTCAATCTCAACCGTCCATTTTATTTGATTAATATGTGATTTCATAGAAGTTTTTATTGTTTCCTAATATAAATTATCGATCATAATTAAAGAATCATATTCACCTTTCATTAATATTCAAATCATAATAAATGAACTCTCATCATTTTCATAAATATCTCAATATATTGGGTTGCATTGTTTGTACAAATATGATTGGTTGTATTCGAAACAAACTATATATATATATATAATGTAGTGTGTGTGAATAGGATTTACAAAATATATAATAAAGAAGATTTTGTTTGCTTATTATAACAATTAATTAATACTATTTGTTGACGTTAAGCAATTTGTCGTTTCCGTTAACCAACACTTATTCAGACATATACAGAATAAAAGTTAATTATTATAATTTCACGTTTTGCAAGTGCAATTACATACCAAGTTCTCTATTTATTTAATGAGTGTTAGAACAAACAAACCATCTCAATATATATATATATATATATATATATATATATATATA